AAGAGTGGATCTGGTGGCTGTCTATAAACTTACCAGGGGGGATCTGCAGGGAACAGGAGAGTCCCTGTTCCCCCGAGCACTATGAGGAGTAACTAGGAATAATGGCCACAAGCTGATTTAGAGTAGGTTCAAGCTAGACATCAGGAAGCACTACTTCACAGTCAGGGTGGCCAGGATCTGGAACCAACTTCCAAGGAAAGTGGTGCTCACTCCTACCCTGGGGGTCTTCAAACGGAGGCTAGATAATCACCTAGCTGGGGTTATCTGACCCCAGCGTTCTTTTCTGCCCACAGCAGGGGGTCGAACTTGATCTGCCCAGGTCCCTTCTGACCCTACCAACTATGAAACTATTCCATTCCTGGACACAGGTCTTTGCTCACCCACAGCCCCATTCCATCCACCTGGCCACATGCCCTGCCTATGTGGGTCCCAGCCGGTCTCCATTGAGACACTAGGATTGCAGGCAGTGACAACATGGGGCCACAGCCTGGGGCAGAGGTGAAATCTGCTCCCCACCCACCCCTCCCTGTAGAACCAGCACCTGTTGCAGGAGTGTGAAGGCAGTGGATCGTGACTCTGCCCCAGGCCCTGGCCCTGTGCTGTCACTGCCTCATGTTTCTGGTCCCAGCCCTGACACTCTGCAGCCCTATCCCAGCTGAGTGTGGAGAAGAGCTACGTAAGGAGTTTTGCTGATCTGTAGGGGGGCAGGAAGGAGAAAGGGGTGCTGACCTGTCCCACGGCAGCTCACCAAAACTCCCTAAGTGGCCTCCAGCTTAAATTATTGTCCACCCCTCCTCTAGCACCTCATATGCTGAAGAAGAAAGTCTCTAATATTCAGCCTAGTTATCCCTTTCCCCAGCCCCCCAAACCATTATACCAAGCTGTACCAATGGATTCTCTGATTATATGAGTTCCCCTTCCCAGTGCCTGAAGATGGGCCTCGTGTCTCCCCACCTATGTAAGCTACATTCGCTGGATACTTCAAATCCTTTCTTGCATGTCTTTTCCTCAAGGCTCTGTCAGCATTTCCCTGGTCCTGCTCCAGACTCCCAGTTGCTCGGCTGGCATGCTGTTTCTGGCTCCTTTGCCCTTTGACTCACTCTCATATTCCAGCTTGGGCATTCACCCACATACATACCTGTTTTCATCCTCTAAATGGGCCAGGATTCTCTCCAGCTCCCCCTTATCATTGGTGTTGACACTGTCCTTGGCCTGCTGGCTGCCCACTGGTTCTCGGTCTGTGATTGGACTGGAGTGGCGCAACAGGTACTGATCCTCATCCCTGTCACAAACCCCAGGAGGAGAGGCATCAGTGATGGAAAGCCAGAGGGCTGTGTGGAAAACACAGCCATGGAATCATAGGATTGGAAGGGAAGTCATCTAGTCCAACTCCCTGCTCAAAGCAGGACAATCTAAACCACCCCAGGCAAATGTTTGTCTAACCTGCCCTTAAAAACATACAATGATGTAGCCTCTCCAGGCAGTTTATTCCAATGCTTAACCCCATGGCTCTTGGTTAGAAAGTCCTCCCTAATAGCTACCTTTAATCTTCCCTGTGTATGTTTAAGCCTGTCATTTCTTGTCTTGTCCTTTGTGGACCCAAAAAACAATTGATTATTTTCTTTAAAACTGCCCTTTTTGTACCAAAAGACTGTTATTAAACCCTCCTAGTCTTTTCTTCTCTATACTATAAAATTCCTCCAACCTTACCTCATTTGTCATGTTTTCGAAACCACTAATCATTTGGTTGCTATCCTTTGAATGCTTGCCAATTTGTTCACACCTTGTCTGAAGTGTGATGTCCAAACTGGCCACAATACCCATGAGCCAGGCCGCATGTACTGAAACATGTGGAAGAACCGCTTCCCACAACTTGCCTATGACATTCCTTGTTAACACATCCCAGAATTCTATTAGCTTTTTTGCAGCACATGGACATGATTTGTACAGAAGGTTGTACAAGTTGGGTACTACACTGATCTATTCCTTAGAGCAAAGGATAAGACCTCCTGGTTCCATTGCCATGGAGAGATGGTTACTATGTACCACAGACAGGACAGGGGTGGGTAAAGTGTGAGGGGAGGCAAGCACTCTTCTCAAAACCCCTGGAGAGAAAGAACCTCAGCATCTCCCCGTATGGACAAACACATTCAAAACATATAAAAGATGCACCACTCACAGGCTATCATCTGGGGACAAACTGTCATTAAAGAAGGAACAGTTCTGACTTTCCATCTCTGCGAGCCTGGAGGAGACAAAACCAGATTAATACCTTCCCAGGAGAGTCATTGGGCCTGCATATCCATTCCTTGTACCTACACTTCTTCGTGTCCCTGCACTAGAATCCTGCCCAGTTGTTCTGCCCCAGCATGTCTTGTCACTCAGCTTCTATTTAGATCCTAAATAATTTTGTATTTTTTAGGAAGAAACTGTTCATCTAGACAATTTGTTTTGGGAGATGCACCCTCTTTGTTGAGGCCATCCAGGCCTCACAACTGGCAGATCCTTTCACATTCACAAGTGCTGCAGTGCTATATGAAAGGTGGGTGCAGTGGTGATGGCACTATGCAGATTCAATTCCTATTACCTTGCATAGTCTTCAGCAAGTCTGTCTGTGCCTCAGTTCCTCATGTACACAATGGGGATAAGCTCTGCCCCCCACAGGGCACTGGGAGAATTAATTTAATGATGATTATAAGGGCACCATGCAAGAACCATAGAATGCTCCATGGATCAGTCTGAAACAGGGCTGCTGGGAAAAGCTCCTGATAGGCCAAGGCATGAAGGACTCAATCACTTTCTTCTTTCAGAAGAGCCCCTGCTAAACTTCAGCTGCACACTTATAAGTAGGAAGTTCTCAGTGAAAATAAAGATCTTGTATAAATATAACAGCTGCATCCCAGCCAAAAGCAACAGCAGTGCAGGTGGGATAAGACAGGTCATTCATTTGGGCATCCCACTCCAAAAGGGCTTCTTAGGTTTGGTCACTACCTCACACCTCTCAGGAAGGTGGCACCACAGTCTGGAGCTGATCTAAGGCAATGTTAGCCATAACTCATACTAGTGAAGTGAATGTAATGGAAGGCGGGGTGGGGGGGAGGGTCTTACAGACAGCCTTTGGCCGAAGTGCTGGACTGCGCCTACCCACTACTCTCCTTCACTCCTGATCTGGTGCCTATAGCATAGTACCTGCTGGCAAAGTGCTCAATCCTGGAGTGGGTATCAGCATGTGGTAGCATCGGGGAGGAGGCTGGTCTGGAAGACACACACACTGGTTAACAAAACACTGCAGTCTTTACTCAAAGTTATGGCTCATAGGTACAGCCCTAATCTCCTTTAGGACCAGAAGAACTAGGGGCTTGCTGGAGACTTATTGCTCCCATAAAGGTCAGGCAGGAAGATGGAAGCAGCATCTCAACCAAACCCTCCCTCTGTGCAAGGCAATGAAAATCTCTGTTCTTCCAAGATCTAGACTCTGTTCCAGCCACCACAGACACCCAAGCTGTCTTCTCTAACTGAACCCTTCATCCCCTGGCCTCTCCTGTCTCGGGGACTAGAATCCCACACCTGCACCTCAGTGGGCAGGTCCTTTCTGTGGGGTCTGTTTTAGGCAAGGCCAGGGTAGCACCAGTCTGCAGGCCAGCACTTACGTCTCTGAGAAGTCAGCTTCAAGCACAGACTGGACAGGCAGGTATCCCCTCTGCGGGTGCTTGCTGAAGTACTGCTTCGACCGGAACTTGTTTTTTAGGGTTGTAGCAAAGTCTCTCATGTTCTCACTAGACGTAGTCTGCAGAAAGACAGAGACTCTAGTAAGTGAGGGATGGGGACATCCAAAAGAAAGCAGTCCTCCAAGTCTGGCCCTGAACTAGATAGAGAGGGAGGCATTTTCCAGACTGTAAACATGTGCATGCATATAGCATGGAATGAGCATGAGAGCCCAAACACAAGGACTTAAATGAGTGTGACATGTTACTTATAGGCATATGCACATATATCTAATATCACTGCCTATTTCTAAATTGTTGCAGGGCAGGCAGCAGCTGAATTTACTGTTACAGCTTCATAATCTGCAGTGTAGAACCATGTAGGTAGCTTCCACCAGGCTCATGTGGAGTCGAGTGACGCATTCCTTGAGCTGCCCATGCGTAATGATGGCAGGAAAGATACCCAGTGCTGACTGAACAGTCCCCTGGAATAGCCCATGTTGACTGCTCCTGGCTCCCTGACTACACAAAGCAGGGAATGCTCAGCCACAGCTCCTTACCGGCGTATAGTACTCCATGATGGGATAGTGCAGCTTATTCCCTTTGCTGGCTCGCCCTGTTAGGAAGCAGGTCTGACAGATATCCACATTGAACTGCTTCAGGCTTCTATATCTGGGAAGATGAAGAGAAGCTGGGGAGATAGCAACAACCTATGAGGAAGCATCATCTGGGAGACCCCCAGGAAGACTGCCGGGTTGAGACCTCATTGTGGTTCAGTGCACCTGGCCCACATAGTACAAGGCTGTTTTTTTCTTGCATACAACTGATTCTAAAAACACTGAGTTCTCACTGCTCCCAGTACAGCAGCAGGCTCCCTCAATTGCTGCTGGTGGGGAGAGGCTGATATGAAATCCTGCTATTGTAGGTGCTTAAATTATTTAGTCATCATAGTCACAGGCCAACCCCTGAATCTTCCACCAGCTCAGGGCAAAGAACATTTTTCCATCACCTGTTCCAGCTGCTGTCCAGCTAGAACTGTCTGTTATACTAAAAACAACAACGTATTATCAGGCTTCAGCTACCCCAGCACACACACTTCACTGTAACATTTTTGATCCCCTGGAGATCATCACACAAGCCAGGCACGAGGCATAAGCAGTGGTGAAGTGGCGGCCGCTGCATGTAAGCCCCCCTTTACACCTCCTGGCTGGATGGCGCACATGTGGCCC